TCAGTGTGTGTGCAATTAGAAGTCTCCAGCAGGTGGTGTGGGTGTCCACTCTCTCAGGCCCCTCCTCTAGTCAGTACAGTGAAGTGTGCTGGTAGGTATTGGGGAGTTAATGGGAGAAAGAGTGTCCTCTATTTTTGTCTTAAGGTCAGTTAGGTATCTGCATGTGCACAGTGCAATTCTCAGGATGGTTGAGTCCCTTTCTTTATGCTGGGGTCTTACAGATTGATTTGAATTTTCCTGTGCAGGGAACACTTGGGCTGATCTTGATGGACTGTATTTAATGGCATCTTCTTTTAACACTTCACACTTTAAAGCTGAAGAAGTAACAGGAAAAGCATACTGAGCTTTTCTCATTTTTCAGGGTTAGTTTTTTCATATTTCTCATTTAAGTTTCAAGGCTCCCAGATGTAACTAGGCAAATGTGGACTGGGGCTGAGGCCTGAAAGCATGATTCAAGATTCTCTGACCAACTAGAAGGACTTCATGTCATTGGTACTGACATCGTATCATGGTGGGGCCCAGGATCTCCCTTTGGCTGGATTGTTGACTCTCAAGCTATTGGCATCAATAAATTGCTTAATTAACAATAATAATAATAATAAATAGGACAGTGAACCACAAGGTCACCAGCTGCACTGTGGGACAAACACATTCAGCATTTCTCAAGCTGAAATAACTGAAGAAAACATTCAATACTCAACTTGTAATAAGGAAAGGTTCTATGGACATCTGTTGAGGCACTTTATGATCAACATTGGACTTTAAACCAATCAATATTGGACTTTAAACTTTGAGATCAGAAATTGAAACCCACCAACTCTGCTTAGCAAACACTAACAGAAGATTGCTGTTAGTTGAAACCAACTCAATGGCACTTAAAAAGAACACAATATTTAGTGGTGAGAAATCAATTTTATATATGTTTGTTCATTCTTTAATAATGTGTTTCATTTCCATAGCAATTTTCTCAATGCCATTATGACATCCTTGTTTCTTAGACTATATATCATGGGATTTAACATAGGGGTGAAGATAGTGTAGAAAAGTGAAAGTACCTTGTCATTTCCCTCTGATTGACTACTCTTGGGTCTTAGGTAAGTAATAGTACCAGATCCAAAGAATAACACCACAACCATAAGATGAGATGAGCAAGTGGAGAAGGCTTTGGTCCGACTTGTGGCTGATGGCAGCTTCAGGATGGTGGAGATGATTTTACAGTACGAGCCAAGTATCAACAGAAAAGGACCTGTGACAAACAACACGGCATCTATGTAGATGAATATCTCATTGACAGAAGTGTCCCCACAGGCCAGCTTGAGTATTGGGGGAATGTCACAAAAGAAGTGGTTGATCTTGTTAGGGCCACAGAAAGTCAGAGAGAAAATCTGATATGTCTGTCCAATCTGAACTGGTATGCCAGCGACCCAACAGCTAGTCACCAACTGGATGCAGAACCTATGGTTCATGACTAGAGGATAGTGCAGTGGATTACAAATGGCCACATAGCGGTCATAGGCCATCACTGTCAGGAGCAAACACTCTGTGGCTCCAAACATAAGAACAAAGCACATCTGTGTTGCACAAGCAACTACGGAAATGCTTCTTCTCTGAGTCCCAAGATTCTTCAGCATTCTGGGAATAGTCGCTGATACATAGCAGATTTCCAAAAAGGAAAAAATTGCCAGAAAAAAGTACATGGGGCTCTGAAGAGCAGGGTCCAATTTAGTTATTAGAAATATGGTGCCATTGCTCAAAAGGATAATAATGTAGAGGATTAGAAAGAATCCAAACAGAAACCACTGTAGATGGGGTAAATCAGCAAAATCCAAGAGAACAAATTCTGTCAATTTGGTGAGATTTTCTTCTGGTAGTTTTTCTTGATAATTCATCTGTGGAAAAGATAAGCTTGCATATGAAATGCTCAATACCTTCTGGTGGCTCTTCTATAAATGGTATAGAGGTGTCTGAATTGAATTTTACAACTATTGACATTGTTTTTACTTTAATAATGATTATTTTCATTTATGTCTCACATCCTCCTGTATAATCATAGTAAACAGTCCTTTCAAGTATATGTCAAGATCATTTCATTTTACCTTTGGAGCATATCCCAGGATAAATCAAGCGATCCTTTATTCAGCACAGGCATTGGAACAATTGTCAACTGCTGGAGATGGTTCTTATACAGTCTACATTACATAGTTTTGAGGGAACATCCTGATAACATTTCATATTTTGCAAAAGAGAATAAAACAATATATTTTGACAGATTATTTACATAAGTTAGGTGCCATAGAGTTGACACCCAATCATAACACCCCTGTGAACAATAGAAGTAAACCCTGCCCAATTCTGCACCATCTTTATAAATATTGGTGCATTTGAGCCCATTGCTGCTGCCCCCGTATCAGTCTGTCTCATTGTGCTTGTCCTTTAATTTGATGGCCCTCCATTTTATCAAGCCTGGTGTCCTGCAGAGACCAATTCCTCTGAATAACATACCTGAAGTATGAGAGATGAAGTCTCATCATTCTGGCTTCTAAGTGGCATTTGGGATTCACTTTTTCCAGGAGAGATTTGTGTGTTCCTCTGACAGTTCATGGTACTTTCAATATTTTTCTCCAACTCTATAATTCAAATGCATTTATTGTTCTACAGTCTTCCTTGTTCATTGTCCAAATTATACATGTATATGAAGTGACAAAAAGTACCTTGGTCTGAGTTAGGCTAACCGTAGTCCATAAACTGACGACTTCATTTTCAAAAAGTGGTCTTTGACAGCAGAATTCTCTACTGCAATAAGTTGTTTGACTTACTGACTGCTGCTTCCAAGATTGTGGATCCAAACAAACTAAATGATAGAATATCAAATGCGTAACATAAGTAAATTTTATTCAGAGAAATTAGCCTGGAACCTTGATTCAGATATATACAATACATTTATTCCCCTGGGAAAAGAGGGCTAACATAGAGAGCATTTGTTACCTGTGTACATAAAGTGGGGGTGGGCAGCAGGAAGAAGAAAGATATTGGCTGTTATGATATGTCCATTGTTTATGTACACACACAATTATTTTTCTTAATCTTCAAAAAAAACAACATTCAGATAACTGTTTCTAAACTCACTTTTCTTTACATATTAGGATTTACTAAGTGTGAAGACTTTACCAACTTTACATATGTTTTATCACTATACATCAGTAATTTTTTATTTTAATTGAGTTTTCCTCCTATCTCCATTATTTACTATCTGTGTCTTATTACTGTTGTTAATGCAGTAGAGTCAGTTTCAACTCATAGCGACTAGGTATGGGATTTCCGAGGAGAAGCTGCTGACCTTGAACCATCAAGGCCGGTTCAATCAGACATTGCAGTGCACTGCATTAACCCACAGCACCACACCAGGACTCCATCTGTATAATATCCATCAATTATATAAAGTTTCTAAAGTTTACTTCTTTGGAAGAATAAAATATAATGATTTTGGTCAAATATATTAACTTCATTACACTTTTAAATTGATTACTTATTAACTATGGTTCTGTGGACCACAAGGTCCATTTGAACTTGAAGGTCTGCAGTTAGTATTCACCAGCTGCTCCTCAGGAAATCCTATACTGGTTCACTTCAAGTCATAAAGGACTCCAAGGCACCTAACAACATCGTTATAATGAGAGTCCAGGTTAGGTGCTATACAATTAGCCCTGAATTGCTGAGACAAGGTCGACGGTTCAAATCTCCCAGCCCATTCTCAGAAATCCTATACAGGGTCACTATGAGTCAGAATAGACTGCACGGCACTTAACAACAACATCTTGTTATTAAGTGTCGTGGTGTATGTTCTGATTCATTAAGGCTCTATATAGGGTTTCCTAGGAACAGCTAGTAGGTTTCAAATGCCAACCTTGATTTTTAAACTGACTATAAAATCCAGTGCTTATCATACATTGCCACACTTGCAGTTTTAGGATTTAACACAATGCCTAGTAAAACAAGTGTTTGATAAAATGTTTTTCTTTCCTTTGTTGAAAACTATTTTTTCCCAACATTCCCTTTCATCAAGGGCAGTGGTAAG